GTGACGTGGTCATATTGGCATTACAGGTGCATTATTTTTCGAGGTCAGATTTCCCCGTCTGAAAACATGTGGTTAGAATCTTTCATTTCAGACAAAGTTGCCACCTGTCGGAGCAAATAAGTCCATGCTTCAATTGTCTCGTTTCGATTTTGGACGTTTTACAGTTGGCAGGTAGTGGTTCTTATTACGACGCGACATGCGTACGACAACCCCGCGATCGTGCGAGATGAGGCGCCTTTCTACCACTCGAGGCTCCCTTTAACTGCATCACACTCCTCTCTTTACAGTTTTATCCATGTAACAAAACTGAAAATTGGAGCGACTGTTTCCATGATCGCCCCATGTTGACGCGACCTAACTTCACATCCATATCTATTCGTCTTCGTTCGTGACAACTAGTGCTCTTCATGAATTTTCACGAAACAGCTCACCAGTCTCACGACCGCTTTCCTAGCACTAGAACGTTTAGGTCACGACAGTCTTTGCAACTACCGTCGCGTATGTAGGCCACCGCGAAGTCATGGCGGGTAATCCAGGGCTTATTGCGCTTCGAAAGCTGAACTCGGCACCTGAGATAGATTGGGAATTAGAGGGCCCTAATGACAATGCGCCATTGGAATTGGGTGGCGTTTACTCATCACGTGACAAATGCTTCGGGGCGGTTCAGGTTTACGCTCTACTACACAAGTTCGGCTATAAGGTTATGATTTGCAAGCCGAATTACGTGGTTGTCGGATGCAAGGCCATGGCGGAGGGTTTCAAGCCATTGTGTCTTTGGAGATGTGCCTACTCGCAATGTAAACGAGGCGACTTTTGGCGCATCACGGGCCTTGTACCCGTGGAGGAGCACATCTGCAAGCCAGAAAAACGACACAAATACGCTGTCGACATTGCAAACAAGTTACCCGTCCTTATTCGTGCTTACGGCAACATGGTCCGCGCTGATCCTTTCGCCTCTCCCATACACTTAATGCGGCAGATGGAGGGTATTGGGGGCCAGGAAATTCGCTATTTGCAGGCCTGGCGCTTGCGCGAGCATATCATGAAAGAGATGTATGGCGATTGGAAGGAGTCGTTTCGTACAATTCCGTGGTTGGTGGATCAGTTCAAGGTCATTGACCCCGGGGTGAAGGTACATCTGGATACACTTGGGGCTTTTTGTGCGACCCTCCGCTACTCGCCATGCCCTCAACTTCTGCCGCCCGGTGGTTGCATTTGACGGGGCCCACTTGATAAGCGTGCACAAGGCTGTGCTGCTTGTCGCTGTTACACTCGATGGCAACCAGAAAATCCTTTTGCTGGCATGGGGTTTGGTGGAGTCGGAGAACAAGGAGTTGTGGAGCTGGTTCCTGGGGCACTTCCTTGATGGGTTCCCCGAATGGGTCCAGCGGAAGCATGCGGCTATGATCAGCGACCGGGACAAGGGCCTTGTCCCGACTGCCCGCGAGGTGATGCCTAGTCACATCCCGCACTATTTCTGCGCTTGGCACCTCGAACAGAACCTGAAGCGGCACGAGAAAGCAGCAATGAAGTTTTTTTGGCGGTTGGTGAAGTGCAGGAGCAAAGTCAAGTGGCTAGCCCACGTCGCTGCATGCCGCCACGATTTTCCTGACATGGCTGTAAACCTTTTTGGGAAGGAGGACCCTCCGGTACCCAATTTTCCACCACCACCAGACGTACGACCACCTCCGACAGCGCGAAAAACGTATGAGGGTGCACGCGCATACGTGTTCGAGGCAAACGCGATGGGCGCCGTGCTGCCAGTGTCCGACTCCGGCTGACAACGGAGTACCCGCTCCTAGGTTTGCTAGCAACGTCCGCCAAGTAGGTGGACTCACGGGAAGGGGAGGGATCAACGCCCCAAACGCTGATGTGTTTGGGAGTCGGTTTGGGGGTGCCATGGGGACTGACTTTCCGGGGACACAGGAGAGTGGTGCAGCCAACGGTGGTGGGGTTCATGGTGACCGTGGAAGGGGAGCCGAGCGAACCGTCAGTGGTGCCGGCGCATTCCAATACGGTGGCCCCAGGCTCGGTGTCAGCAATGGGAGAGGGTTCAGGCGATACGGACCGGGAGTTGGAGGCAATGTACGTGGTGCGTCTAGGAGGGGTGTGGGTGGTGCCGGAGCTGCAAGAGGAACCACTACGGCGGGGATGGGTACGGGCACGCAAGGGAGAGCCACCACCTGCGGGGGAGGAGTCTCCACCAGTGGCCTGGGTTCCTCACAGGGGGTTTGGGTGTCAGAATCCCAGCCACTAACCACTGGGATAAAAGGGCTTGTTTGTATGGCGGGTGAGTGCGCCCATAACCCCCCAGGCCGACGTGCCTGTAACCCTTCCCTAGGATCATCGGGGATCCCCAGTGGACCTCTGACACCCCCCCGCACTGGGATGCCCGAAGTGCACACACCGGGATTCGAACCCGAGACCTTCGCTCTGATACCATGTCAGAATCCCAGCCACTAACCACTGGGATAAAAGGGCTTGTTTGTATAGCGGGTGAGTGCGCCCATAACCCCCCAGGCCAACGTGCCTGTAACCCTTCCCTAGGATCATCGGGGATCCCTAGTGGACCTCTGACATTGGGGACTCAGGAGAGCACGCCGGTGACAGATGCTGGACTTGACGGCGTGCACGGGGGAGCAGCGAGCGGAGTTGGTCTTGGTGGCCTAGGCCTATGAGTGGGGACGGGTGCTGGCACAAATCCTGGGACGGGCATTGGAGCAGGATGGGGATCGGGCATGGGAGGAGTGGGACTTGGCCTGGGTGCCAGTGCAGGGCTGGGGGGCGTGCAGGTTGGATCTGGGAGGGGATCTGGCCTGCGAGGAGTGGGACTAGGAGCCGGGAGGGGCGCTGGTCTGGGAGGTCAGGGGCATGGAGCCGGGAGGGGTGCTGGTCTAGGAGGGGTGGGGCTTGGATCCGGGACGGGTGCTGGCCTCGGAGGTCAGGGGCTTGGAGCCGGTAGGGGTGCTGGTCTAGGAGGGGTGGGACTTGGATCCGTTGGAACCAGAGGCGCGTTGGGGACGGCCGCTGTGGGCGCGGGGCTAGGTGGGAGAAGTCTGCACTTGGGATCCGGGGGCGGGGCTGGTGGTGGACTGGGGAATGTCACCTGGGATCCGGGGTTGGTGGTGGTTGTCGGGGAAATGTGCACCTGGGATCCGGGGTTGGTCCTGGTGGTTGTGTTGCCATCGTTGTTGCCATCATTCTTGTGAAATTTTGCTAGTGAAACTCTTGCCAATTTTCCCCGTGAACTAGCAAGCAGTGTGCGCACAAGGAAACGACTAAGGAACGAACGAACGCAGAGATCCCTCTCACACACGTGCCTTCCCCGCAGTCAAGCTCCCGTTGTTAGAGTTATCTCCGCAAATTGTCTGCATAATCCTGGGTACACGCAAACCCCTGACTAGTGGCAAATTCACTTGACGATTGCCATGTTTGTAAGAACAATGGATTGATCATAATCTAGGCAAGCCTTGGTGTTCCACTAGATGTACCGTGCTACATCATCAACTATGAGTTTGCTTGAACATGGGATTTTACAAATACGTTTTGAACACACTGACAACTTGCTTGATATGTTTATGCGAACAATGGTCCGCCTACAATATATGCGAGGCTAGGTGTTCAAATGGTCCGCCTACAACAAATTATACGGAAAGAAGTCGTGTCAAATGACATACTGTACCCCTTGTTTTATCCACGCAGTTACGTTCACTGTTAATACGACCTTTGTGTTAGCTTGTACGTTTTAGACCGTCTGATATTGTTTTGTAATATTCCTTTGAAATGTTGCGCATATGTACCTTCGCGAATAAGTGCCACGTAACAACATTCGCGCGCCCTTCGTGTGCTGGCTCGAGAGAAGCAGTCGGCCATCTCGTGGGATTTCGTGAACCCTCCGCACCCTGTGGCTGATCACGAGTCCTCACGTACGGAAAATCTGCCACACGAAGTGTTCATGGGGTATTGCGAACAGTACGTTCGTGAGTCGTGACGCTCAATGCAGCATTCGTCCCACAATCGTGAGTTCTGGGGTTTCGCCTATGCCCGTTAACGAGTCGTCGTGAACTTGGTATGAGGTTTTCAAACAACTTACGTCGGCTCATGAGTGTCATCTAATCAGATTTACCTAAATTCTCTACGATTGTCGCAAATAATATTATCTATCATAGACGATCTATAGTTTTGTGGTTTGCATACTCTAAAACCACAAATTCCGTCACGTTATTTAAAAAAAAAAAAAAAAAAACAAAAAAAAAACAAAAAAACGTCGTCCACATCCACTTCATCATCACCCCCCATCGGCTGCGGTTCCTGTGTTTCAGCCTGCGGGTATCCACCATACTTCCACTTACATTTTAGTCGGTTATGCACAAGCTCGCGGCATCTCCCGCAACGGTACGCATGGGCTGCAGTCTCGGTACGAGTGTGGTCTTCAGGGCGGCCAACTCTTGTCAAAACAAGAGCCGGAGCATCACACTCGCCTTCCGGGGCCTTGGGTGCCTCTGCAATGTATCTGTCAATGCACGTCCCCCAAACAGTGGGGGCATAGGTCTTGCGAAGCGTGTCAGTGGTGTAGAAGTTTGAAACCAGAACCTTGGGGCATATCTTCTTGATGAGGCACATGGCAACCGCGTGAGAACAGGGGAACTAGTATTCCTGCTAGTTGCCGCACTCACAAGCCCGGGTAGCAAGGTTTACATTGTAGCTCCGCCACATGGTCTCATGCTCCCCGCCACGGGTCTGGATCGTTCCGAAATCTCGTGTGCCACCGAGAAACCAGTAACCCTGACACCTGTTGATCTTGATCTGCATACGTGTTACGACTGCCTGTGAGAGGAGCTCACCCCTCTGCATTGCATGCTCGTAGCGCTCCACCCATTTGTCTTTGAACCAGCCCCACAGGGACGCCAGCAGGTAGGTCGGTGGGAGCATCCTTATCCGACGCACTGCTCCGTTCAGGGTTTCAGCCGCATTGCTGGTGTACACACCGAACAGGCGTGTCACGGCAAAGAGTCGTGCCCAATGGAGCAGTTGGATTCCACCAATGCGATATCTGGACCTTTCCGGTTGTGGTGGAAACCGGTCTGCACATAAATTCCCCCGTCCTCCTCGCCATCGCCGGCAGCCTCCTCAGTGGCGGTCTCTGCTCCCCCTTCATCCTCGTCCCCAAACCCAGGTTCGTCACGATCAGCATGAAGGGCTTCGCCATGAGCACCAGTATCAGGCCAAGGAAGCGCTAACACCTGTGCCAGCCCTGTATGCAGGTTTTCGTCGTCGAGAGCTGACTCTTGCCAGTTGCGGGGCCGCCTTGCACCCGCGGGCTCGTCGTTGACCCCAGTGTTGATTGAGGTGGGGGTGTACCCTTTGTGGGCTCGCTGCACTTGAGCGTCGTAGTCGAAGGGTACACCAGTTGGCACCCCCCCTAGGGTTGCCGCACCAAGCCCCTCCCCCCCCCCGGTCGTTGCAGATGGCTCCTCATCGTCTAGACCATCATCCATCGGAAAACCCCCGCTTTCCAACCCCGAAGCGCTCAGTATGCCACCAGCATTACGCACAGCACCCTGGCGACCCTCTCCATCCCGACCCCCTCCATCATCCATCGGTAAACCCTCTCCATCCCGACCCCCCGCACCCTGTTCTGCACTGCCATCATTCCCGCCACCATAACCCACCCATCTTGCAAATCCCATTCGAAAACCTTCACCCTTGTCAGGGGTGGTGCACTCCTGCCAATGCCCGCGTAACGGGCTGACCTGCCCAGTCCAAGACGCACACCACCTAGTCCAAGGACGGACCCGGACCCCATCCCGACTCCACCAAGTCCTTCGCCCCATCCCGTTCCCAATTGCACGCCCCCAAGGCCAGCTCCGCCCCCGGATCCCAGGTGCACATTTCCCGAACCACCACCACCAACCCCGGACCCCAGGTGCACGTTTCCCGGGCCACCAGCACCAACCCCGGACCCCAGGTGCACATTTCCCAGACCACCACCACCAACCCCGGGCCCCAGGTGCACATTTCCCGGACCACCACCACCAACCCCGGATCCCAGGTGCACATTTCCCGGACCACCACCACCAACCCCGGATCCCAGGTGCACACTACATCAGAGCTAGCTAGGCTGCTGGTCGACCTCCAGCGCAGCACGGTCGACCGCGTTCCAGCGCAGCAATGCTCGCATCGCTCCAGCGCTGCAGAGATGCGGTGCGCCAGCATTGCATATCCACGGTGTGCCAACGCTGCAGCAAGTCGGCTGCACAGCGTTGCACCCGCAGGACAACGGTGCACCTGCTTCGCAGGTGTGCGCGGCTGGTTGGCGTCCAACACCCTGTCACGTGCCCCGTCACGTACCACCCCCGAGGTCGTCCTCGCAGAAACCACCCCCGGCGACCTTCGCACATGTCGCCCGGGTATCCCGGTCGACCGGGCAACCCCGCCTGGTCGTCCAGCCCAGTCGGACGCCGGCTACGCCAAGCCCGGCGTCCCCAGGTCGGCGTCCTGGCGTCCAGGTCGGCGTCCACTCGCCTAGGACGCCGTCCAGGTGCCCAAGTCGGCGTCCAGGCGCCCGGGACGCCGAGCAAGCGCCCAGGTCGGCGTCCAGCCTCCCAGGACGCCGAGCAGACGCCCAGGACGGCGTCCAGGCGCCCAGGACGCCGAGCAGACGCCCAGAACGGCGTCCAGGCGCCCAGGATGCCGAGCAGACGCCCAGGACGGAGTCCAGGCGCCCAGGACGCCGAGGAGACGCCCAGAACGGCGTCCAGACGCCCAGGACGCCGAGCAGACGCCCAGGACGGCGTCCACCTGCTCGGCGCCCTCCAGCCAGGCGCCCCCCAACTCAACGCCCTTGCAGTGACCTCCGTGCCCACTGCTGCACGTCGGCTGCGTCCCCCCCGCACACCCGACCACGAGGTCGGCTCCGCCCAAGCGAGGACGGGGCCAAACACTACTCCCGTTGACACTCCCCTACCGCGTTCACGCTTGGGCACCCAGCCCACACGACTGCATTGCTCGGAGAATAGCTCGGTGGCGTGCACACAACACACAGCATGCTGGACACCGCACCAGCCATGCAAAAGGGCATGGCACCTACTGCTGCACGTCGTTGTCTCCGCCGCCGACTTCGACCAGGTGCACTTGGCCGATCACGACGGAGCACCGGTTGAAGGCCGGGTAGTGCAGCGCCTTCGTCAGGAAGTCGGCCGGCTGCTCAGTGGTCGGGATGTAGCTCAACGCGAACTTCCCGCGCCTCACCATGTGCTGCAGCCAGGCCTGTCGTCGCTCCATGTGCTTGAGGTTGCCCGTCAACCCCATGCCCTCGGCGACTGTGATGGCCGACTTGTTGTCCACCCGAAGGACAGTCGGCTTCCCGGCGTCAAGCTGGCGGAACTCTGCCAGGAGGAAGCGAAGTCGGCGTCCCTCCTTGCCGGCTTCAACGGCCGCCACGTACTCCGACTCGGTCGACGACAGCGTCGTGCACTTAATGTGCTGGCTCGACCAGGAGAGATGAGCATGTAGCTTCCCGTGCTCATCCGGTTCTGCTTGTCGCCGGCGTCGTCGGCATCAACGTAGCCGACCAGCTCCAGCGTCTCCGGACCACCGCCGAACTCCAGGGCAGTGTCGCACGTGTTGGCGAGGTAGGCGAGGCAGCGGTCGACCTCGCGCCAGTGCTGGTCACTTCTAACCGTGAGTCCGCTCCCCAATGTGCTGCAGGCGAAGGCGATGTCCGGCCTTGTCGTCGTCGCCGCGAACTGCAGCGAGCCGACCATCTGCCGGTACTCCTCCTCCTGGCGTCCCTGCGCCTCCTCGTCGTCGAAGGTGAGCTCGGCGTAGGCGTCGACGGAGACCGGCGTCTTCGGGGTCCGACCACCCTGCTCCTCGTCGATGAAACGCCTACGCAGCTTGTCGGCGTAGCCCTACTGGTGCAGCCACAGCTTCCTCGCCGACCTGTCGCGCACGATCTCCAGGCCGAGGTACTTCTGCACCGGAGAAATCTCACGCAGCTCGAAGGCAGCCTCCAGCAGCTCCTTCAGCTCCCTCAACATCGCGGTGCTGCTGCTGGCGGCAAGCAGGTCGTCGACGTAGACCAGCACCCAGCATGCCACCTTGTCGGCGCCGACCTTGAAGTACAATGCCTCATCGACCTGGCTCTTCTTCCAGCCGGCGCCGACCAGCACGTCGTTGAGCGCCTTGTACCACAACAGCGGCGACTGCTTCAGCCCGTAGAGGCTCTTCAGCAGCTTGCACACCCGGCCGGACCCATCGTTGTAGTAGTCCGGTTGGTACCATGTAGAGCACGCGGTCGAGCTTGCTCTGCAGGAAGGCGTTCTTCATGTCCAGCTGCATCAGGTTGAGGTCGAGGACAGCGACGATGCTGAGGAAGATCCTCAGCGTGACGTAGCTGCTCACCGGCGCGTACGTCTCGTCGTAGTCGGCGCCATACACCTGCGTGAAGTCTTTTACGACCAGCCTCGCCTTCTCGCGCTCTACAGTCATCGATGCGGTACTTCGTCATCAGCACCCACCGGTTCTTCATGATGTTCACTCCAAGAGGCCGCTCAACAAGCTCCCACGTGCCGTTGTCGATCAGGCTGCGGATCTCCTCGTCCATGGCAGCCTTCACCGCCTTGCCCTTCCAGCTTGCCAACGCCTCCTTCACCGTCATCGTTGCGATGTCCCAGCGGTGCTCGGGGTCGGCATGCATGTCGGGGTCGAGCTCCGGAAACTCCTCGTCGTTCGCGGCGTCGTCGTGGCCACGTCGTCATCGTCATTGTCGTACAGCGTGGTGAAGGCGGCCGGCGGGAGGCAGACATGGTAGGTCAGCCGCTCCGGCGGCCTCCGGACTCGTCCTGAACTTCGCAGTTCAGGCTGCTCAGAGCGGACCTCCACTACATCGCTGTCAGTAGACTGCCCGGCGTCCGACTGCTCCCCTTCAGCTTCGCCGGCTTCACTGTCCTCGGCGTCCTGCTGCACCAAAGCCGGCGTCCCAGCCGACTTCTCCGTTGCCGTCAACTTTCCTGTCGGCTTCATCGTCCTCTGCTCCCCTGTCGGCGGCTTCCCTGCAGACGCCCCCTTGTTGACTCCTCGGCCTGCTGCTCTCCTGCCTTCGGCGGCTCCGCTTCCACGCCGACTTGTTGAACGCCACTTCACCCACTGGCTATGCCTTCAGCCGGTGCCACAGGTGACGCCCCACTGCTCCCCTCATCGCCGGAGACCGACGTAGGCGTCAGCGCATCCAAAACGGCCACGGGAGGGGGGATGGCAGGGGAAGGGGAAGAAGGGAGGACTTGCTCGGCGTCCTCTTCAGCAGGCTCACCGACCTCGGCGAGCAGAGGGAGTGTCGCGGTGGAGGAGTCCGTCGGCGAGGGAGCCGGCGTCCGCCCCGACGCCCTCCCATGCGTCGACTTCCACACCTCCAGCGACATGGTTTCGTAGAACACCACATCCGACGTGGTGACCATCCTGTGGTCGGCGATGTCAAGGAGCTCCCAGCCCTTGCTCGCCTCCGACACCTCGAGGTGGAGGCCCCACTTGGCCTTCGGCTTCAGCTTCCCACCGCGCTGCTGCTCGGGGACGAGGAACTGCGCCATGCAGCCCCACACGCGTGCCAGCGACAAGTCGGGCTTCTTCCCGGTAAGCAGCTGGTACTTGCCCCACCGGCTGCAGCGACGCGCGCTCCAGGCAGTTGCGGACCCAGACGGCCTGCCGCAGAGCGAGGTGCCACCAGTGGTGCTGCACGCCCATATGCAGCAACATCGTCCGCACCGACTCCACCACCGTCCGCATCTCCCGCTCCGCCATGCCGTTCTGCTGCGGGGTGTACGGGCAGGTCAGGTCGTGGACGATCCCCTTTCCGTCCACGAAGGCGGTGAACTCCTTCCCGAGGAACTCCCCTCCCCGGTCAGATCGCAGCTGCAGCACCGACTTCTTTGCCTGCCGCTCAACCAACACTGCGCGAACTCCCGCAGCACGTCGGACTTCCTGGCGACCGGCTTTACCCACACGTAGCGGGTCTTACAGTCCTTCAGCAGCAGCAAATACAGGCTGCCATCCTTGGCAGCCACCCGAAATGGCCCGCACAAGTCGATGTGCACGACGGCCAGGGCGTCCTCGGCGTCCGAGCCCTTGTCGGGGAAGGAGTGGCGCGCCAGCTTCCCACCGACGCATGAGACGCAGGGCGAAGTGGCACCAGACGCCGACTTGAGGTCCAGCCCGGTGGCTACCTCGTGCTTCGCCGAGCTCCGGATGGTGTCCATGCCGACGTGCGCGAGCCTCGCGTGCAGCCTATTCAGCGTCGCCTTCGTCGCCGAGACAATTGCCTGCAGGGCCACTTCCTCCGCCGCAGTTGTCAACGGGCAGGGACGCAGGTCGGTGCAGAGAACCTGGCCGGAGTACGTTGCTCGACCAAGCACGTCGCCCGTCGCCGAGACGAGCAGCATTCCGTCGTCGTCGTCCTGCAGCTTCACGCCGTTCTCCTTCAGCTGACCGGCCGACAGCAGGTTCGCGTGCACGCCCGGGACGTACAGCACGTCGGGGATGAGCACACGCTTCCCGGCCTCCCCTTGCAGCGCAACCGTGCCCCGTCCCTTGACGTCCTGCAGCGCCCCATTGAAGTTAAGCACGTATTTAACGTCGCCGCTCGGCCCCATGTCGACGAAGACCTCCTTCGTCCCCATCAGGTGGTGGGAGCAGCCGCTGTCCAGCAGGACCACCGCCGGGTTCGCCTGCACTGCTGCTGCCATCGCCTGGAAATCCTCACCGGCCTCCGGCGCCAGTGAGACGGTCGGCTCCACAACGCCGACCAGCGAGCACGACGCTTCCCCGTCGCCTCGCCCCTTGCCGCTAGCAGAGGAGTCGGCGTCCTTCGCCGAGGTCGACTTCGACTACTTTTCCTTGCGCGGCTGGTTTCCTCAACGTGGACGACGGCTGGCCGACCTCCCGCGGCCTCCCTTGGCGTCGTCATCGTCGGATTCGCTGCGGTCGGGACACTCAAAGGAGAGGTGATCGGGGCTGCGGCAGATCCAGCACTCCCGACGCCGACCTCCTCCTCCGCGACCGCCTTCCTTCGCCGACTTACCCTTGTCGGCGTCCTTGGCCGGCTTCCCACCTCCGCTACCACCGCTGCCAGGCTTGCCGCGCTGCCCTGGTCGGCTACCTTGCTTCGCCGGGGCGGCGTAGTTCGCCTGCAGCAGGAGCTCCGTGGACTTCTTGGCCTCCTGCATCGCCTCGTCCTGTATGTTGTACGAGGTAAGGGAGTCCTCGTTGAGTGTCGCCCGCGTGCTCGGCGCCATCGACAACCGCTTCAGCAGGTTGTAGCTGCTTGTGAGTCCCTTGATCACATGCGTGACGTACGACGCCGTCGAGTAGTTCACGCCGGCCATCCTCATCATGGCGAGAAGTCGCCGAGCTCGGTTGCAGTAGTCTGTCGCCGTTTCCTGCTCGCCCATCCGCAGGTGTGACAGCTGCTCCTCGAGCTGGCCGATGTACAGGTCGTCAGTGACCTGGTACGTCGTCTCGATGAAGTGCCAAGCTCGATGGCCAGCGTCGAGGTACTCCCTGCACGACTTCAAGGCGATCTGCACGTCCGGCGAGCAGCACCGCGAGATGACCGTGAAGGTCAGCAACTGCACCGCGCGAAACTCCACATGCAAGTCGGGGTAGATCTCCTCCGGCGTCGCCACGGTGCCGCGGGCGAAGCAGATCAGCCCAGCCATCTCCAGCTGAGGCTCGATCGCCTCCTTCCACGTGAGGATGTCGGGTCGACCGACGAGGAAGGGGGTGACCGAGATCCTGTCCGGCGTAAACTTGAAGTAGCCGTAGCTCGGCGCAATCCCTTCCGTTGTCACGTGTGTCGCCGACATCAGTGCCAATCCACTTCGTTGGCCTCCGACGCCGTCCTGCGAGGCCCTTGCAACCGCCGACGACTGCATCCCTCGCGCCTGAACGCCGCCGACTTCATCGGCGTGTATCACACCTCTCTGCTTCGACGTGCCTCCCGCACTGCTGCCGACCTGGCCACCACCGGCGTTGACGCCCATGTCGACGCCGCTAGCGCTGTTCACCGGTCGCGGAGATGCCGGTCGAGAAGGGTGCTCCGCCGCCCACAGAGCGCGGATGCCAGCCTCGACGACCGCCAGCGGGAGAGTCCCGTACTCGTTCGCCGCATGGCGTCTCCTCGCATCCTCCAGCCGTGCCTCCAAGGTGTCCACGACGCCCGCCTCAAATACAGGATCCACCATGGCGTCCAACACAGCCGCCGGCCTACGAACAAGCTAGGTAAGTGCAAAGTCGGCTACACCGAAGGTATCGTTGCGGGGCCGTCCACGCTCACCGCACCATGCAGAGATAACTCTAACAACGGGAGCTTGACTGCGGGGAAGGCACGTGTGTGAGAGGGATCTCTGCGTTCGTTCGTTCCTTAGTCGTTTCCTTGTGCGCACACTGCTTGCTAGTTCACGGGGAAAATTGGCAAGAGTTTCACTAGTAAAAGTTCACAAGAATGATGGCAACAATGATGGCAACACAGACTACATCAGAGCTAGCTAGGCTGTTGGTCGACCTCCAGCGCAGCACGGTCGACCGCGTTCCAGCGCAGCAATGCTCGCATCGCTCCAGCGCTGCAGAGATGCGGTGCGCCAGCGTTGCATGTCCACGGTGTGCCAATGCTGCAGCAAGTCAACTGCACAGCGTTGCACCCGCAGGACAACGGTGCACCTGCTTCGCAGGTGTGCGCGGCTGGTTGGCGTCCAACACCCCGTCACGTGCCCCGTCACGTACCACCCCCGAGGTCGTCCTCGCAGAAACCACCCCCGGCGACCTTCGCACATGTCGCCCGGGTATCCCGGTCGACCGGGCAACCCCGCCTGGTCGTCCAGCCCAGTCGGTCGCCAGCTACGCCAAGCCCGACGTCCCTAGGTCGGCGTCCACTCGCCCAGGACGCCGTCCAGGTGCCCAAGTCGGCGTCCAGGCGCCCGGGACGCCGAGCAAGCGCCCAGGTCGGCGTCCAGCCTCCCAGGACGCCGAGCAGACGCCCACGACGGCGTCCAGGCGCCCAGGAAGCCAAGGAGACGCCCAGAACGGCGTCCAGGCGCCCAGGATGCCGAGAAGACGCCCAGGGAGGCGTCCAGGCGCCCAGGACGCCGAGGAGACGCCCAGAACGACCTCCAGGCGCCCAGGACGCCGAGCAGACGCCCAGGACGGCGTCTACTTGCTCGGCGCCCTCCAGCCAGGCGCCCCCCAACTCAACGCCCTTGCAGTGACCTCCATGCTCACTGCTGCAGGTCGGCTGCGTCCCCCCCGCACACCTGACCACGAGGTCGGCTCCGCCCAAGCGAGGACGGGGCCAAACACTACTCCCGTTGACACAATTAATTGTTGCTGCGATCAAAAATTGATCGTAACCTAGGTTCGTCTCGGGGGCTTTCGCACAAAGTCGTGCAATTTGGTGGTGGGTCCTTGACCTCAATTCACAATTCGTAGTGAACGTAAAACGATTGGGAGGAAAAAAATATGCAAACATGCAAACACTGTAACACAGTGCATCCTATAGTTGTATGCGGTGGACTGATCATTCTGTAGTGGTCGTATTGTGAACGTGATATCTATGCACAACACACTGATCTACTATTCACTCTATCCTCTGCCAGTTACTCTTAGTGTTTAGTAACATGTGTGATTGTAACAGTCACCTCGTCATTTCAGTTTGTACATATCTTAGCTTGATGCTTCCTCTCTCTTAATGTACATGGATAGTTTGTGAACCTTAAGCTGGTTGTGATGCTAAGCATTGCAATATCTCAATTGATTTTTCATGAATCTAGCACCAATTGGGGTTTGTTTTAAAAATCCACAAGTACTTAATGTAATGTTAATATTACATAAGTCCGTGTCGCAAACACACTTACCGCAAGGGACCACCCTGTACCGCAACCCGCCCTTGATCGTATAGCCCGCGAGCGCGAATGTCCGTCAGCGTTCGTGGATTTTCATAAAATTTCGTGTAAGTCTCCTGGCACATTTCCGTGAAGTAACGTGTGGAGTCACGAGTTTTGACCCATGGTTTTTATTTTAACATAATGTTCCTGGGACTCTAGCACGCTCTAAATTTTTATCTAAAAGTTCAACACCATTGAGTCCAGTAATCTACGATCATGAGGAAAGGTGGAAACAACAAAACAGCTCATTCACATCAAAAACCAAAACAGCACGAGCAAAACATTGTAGACAAACATCTTCAGAAGGCAAATGGCAAAGAGACATGCCCTAGTCGCGGATCGTGTTGCCGGGCTTCTGGTTTCCTGCCACACACAAGTGATGGGGGGGTAAGCTTACACGTGCATAATGGGCTCCTTCTGTACACGATTAAACAATCTTACCCACGGTCGCCGCACCACCCTCGTCTTCCTGTGTCGCGCCCTCGGTCCCTGGAAGTGGGGTTGCAGCAGCGGCCACCACGTCACCACGGGTTGGTGTAGCACCGGGCTCGGTGACTGGGGCAGTGAGTGGCTCAGAGGTAGGCGCGGTGGCGGTAGCACCGACTTGTGTTGCGGCGGTCTCCTCGGCTTGTGCCGCCTCTGCATCACCTTCCGCCGCTGCAGGAAGGCCGCCCAACTCTTCAATCTCTGTCTGCCATCGCTCCCACCTCCCCCATGCCCTCCGCCTAGCCAAGAACTCCACGTGGCGGGTGGTGCAACCCCTCAAGATCTCAAGATCGGCTTGCTGCAGCGGCAAAACCCGGCCACGAACCGGTGTATGGCGGCGGACGACATGCACAGCAGCGGCAAACGCCCGCGCACCGACTAGCTGGTCCTCATACGTGCCGAGCATGATCGTGCTCAGGTTTTTGGGGTCCTTCACCAATTTGACGTGCCACAGTCCATCCTTCAACAGGTGCACACAAGCGTACGAAACCCTGGGAACCTGTGTACAGGCTGCACCGTCGGGCCCAGACCTGCCACCGCCAGCTGTAGCAGCTGCTGGAGGGCCGACGCTCTCCCCCTGGACCTCGAGCGCGTGCTGAAGAGGCGCCGCAAGTGCCTGGCTGTTCATCTCCAAGAGCGCTTGAGTCGGCTTCGCACACCGAAGCACATGCTGCACGACATCGGGGCTTCGACCAAGCGGAGACTGTTCCGGCGCCCCGAAGCCAGTGAGCAGTTGCCGGACCACCGCTGATGCATGGAGCATGTTCGGGCCGTCCTCATCCTTCCCCTGGACATCCCACGCGTTGCCACGGAGGCCGGACATCGCTCCGTACTGGTTGGGGCCGCTTTTGGGGGTCTGACCAGCGGCGCGTGTGAGCTCTTTCACGCGCTCAATCTTGTCCCACATGGCCTTCAACTCCCTGGCCATGCCCTCGACACTGCCCTCCACACGGAATATTTCTTCCTCGCCATGCAGGATACGGATGTTGGTGTTACCAAGGTCCGCAGAGAAGCTCTCGCAGCTTAGCCTCGAGCGCCACGTATTCACGGGGCACCGAGGCGTTCGACCTGATGGCAAGTGGCGGGTCCTGATCAGGGACAACGCACTTCTCCCGTACAAGCTCGACGATGAGGGTCCCCCTGGCATGCGCGACGAGGTCGCCGCGCAGGTTGCGGCGGAACTTTCCGGGTCCGTATGTCAGGGCGGGGAGCCCTTCCTCGAGATGCTTGAAGTCGGTGGCAACAAGCTCGTGGAGGTAGATGCAGTCGAACACGCAGCAATCGTAGGCATTGGTCTGCGCCGGGCAGCGGAAACTCTGCCAGGACATAATCTACGGGATTTAGTAAGTAAGCACATAATATGTAACGGAGTGATTTAGTGTTACAAGAGGTAGAGGAAGTAAATACATACTGGGACCAAGACTGTGCGCATGTGCGCGAGCCTGTGTTAAAGCCAGGGTCTCAAGTACTACGAGTGTTTTGCAGTTGCTGTTGAAAGTTGGGCTGTGATTGGTTGGCGAGGTGAAAGGTTTGAAGTGGGGAGAAGCGAGGGGTGCGAAGCGAACGCAAATCGTTGGGTGTATCCGAACCTTCTAGGCTTGGAAACTTGGTTCGAAACCAAACCTAAAATGCCCCCAACTCATCGAAAGTCTCAAGTACCCAAAAGTGTTGTGCAATCGCTTTTGGGGCACTGACGGGGTGTGTCGCACGCTGATTTTCCAAACCAACCAGAAAGAACTTCGTCTGCAATAACTAGGTAACCTAGCTTCAACTGCAAAGCAGTTGACAGCTCCTTAGCTTACTTGAGACCCTGGCTTTAAACTTCGGTTTTCCCCAGCAACAGGCCGATAAGGCTGCACATCGCAACAGCTTCTCCGCGTGAGTGCTATAGGATTATTTGAGAAACATTTTGATGAGCCATTAAACAATGCAAGACAGAAGTCACTCACATGGTAATCTCACTGAAAATGAGATCTGCCTGCCGCTAATGATTCCCCAAGGAGTCGTACATGACTGCGACAGGCATTCTCTTTTCCCCCACCTGGGGCACGTCCCCTTAGAACACTCCCGGCTCCTTCACGACAACAAGACTGAAGTGCTTTGGAGAGCTGCAGTGTATAAACATGGACAAAACTGTGTCACACAACGGCGGGAAAATGGAATACAAAAAACACAACGCCAAATCGAAAAAATACTTACTCCGTGACCACAACAACGAGGACGTAATTGTGGTCTAGGATCTTGTGGTTGTTGGGACACTGTATAAGTCGGCGACCCTGCACGCTGGTGGTGTAAGCGCTGGCGTCCAAGGCAATCCAGGTCTGACCATCGGAGAGTTTAGACTTCTAGATGTGCGCAAGTCTGCATAACCGCAAAGTACAAGTACATGAAGTGATGATGAAACCGAATGGAACGTAATAATAGTTGTGAGGCAAAATGTGTCAATTGGTAAAAAACCCTTACATGTTGTGAAAGTCGATGAGCGGTGTGCTAAACTCGCACGCGTCTTGCACACGTGCAGCGTCAACCTAGCCCACAAACACGCTCTGACCGAGGTTGTTATAAAGGGCTTTCGTCGGGAAGTACTGTTACGGCTTGTATGCAGGCATCTTCCCACGACTAGTCAGCGGCGGCGGAGGGATGCCCTTAGTGAACTCCGTGATGATGTCGTCGACGGGATCGAGAGTTTCCACGCTCTCCACACGGGTGGGCACGTCGAGCGGCTTATCTTGAGTAGCAGCCGCGCGACCACCCCTTGTGACGCGACCCTTCTTGCGACTCTTGGGAGTCACCTCAACTACCTTAGGGATTGAAGAGTCCGGATCTCGGCTTGACGAGTCGTCGTGCGTAGACTCGTCATGCCTTTTACCGTGGCGCTTGCTCCTGGTATCCATGACCTACGGCTTCGGTGAGTGTGTTGCGGAGGAGATATCGAGATGGGAAGGAGGGAGAAGGGCTTACGACCAACTGTGGGAACAACTATCGTGATGACCAGGAGGAAGTACTACACTGGGGAATTCGGAATGCGAAAAACTGTGCGTAGGAGTCCTTCATGTTAAGGCGAAGCCCTGCACGCGCCTGGTTTCGCGTGTAGCAGCCCTATGCGGAGTAGCGAGACTTCGCATACCGCATATCGGTGTTGCGGTATTCGCCGAGTACAATCCAAAAGTGCACTTCGGTATGCACTGTTCAACACTGAACCGAATTGGAGGGAAGTGACGACATTGCACAAACGAGTATGTGCAACTGTCTGTTGCGAGCACCTGCGCAACTACTCCTGGGCAGGTAGAAAATGCACCTGACGGTATTTTCACCTGATCGTGTTTTCACCTGGCGGTGCCAACCTGGAACCGCATACTAGAGTAGGTGCTTGCACGTTCTCCTTGAACAACGTTCTTCATGAACAACGTTCTCGTAGAACGTTCTCGCACATGTCACTATGATTCCTATAAGGTTCATGTTGTATCTGTTGTAATCTATCAATTAATCAATTTCTTTCTTTCGTTACTAGATACCATGCCTGTTGCTGTATACCAAGCATACCGTTCTCCGATTACCAGTATCCGGTTTCCATCAAGTCCGTATCGCAAACCTCGCACTTCACTCTCTGATCGTGCAACTCTGCGCCTAGGCTCTCCCACAATCGCCTATTCTCCGCATGGTGCGGTGAGCGTCGACGCACACGCGAACTTCAGATAGCCTCGTATTCAATTGACAAAGTTGTCAACCTTGGGCCGGCAGCCATTTCTATTCCGTATGGTCGGTGAGGGCGCCGTTACGGAAGTTATGGACCTGGAAGCGCAGGTCGCTGCTTTGCGGGAGCGCCACAGTGGTGGCGAAATCAGCGCCGCGGATCTGGATCTGATGATCGAAGGAGCTCGTGCGAAGTGGGCTCGCGATCACCCAACTCCTCGCGCTGAGGCAGAAATTGAGTCCGCTTCTCCCCGTGCTGAAGGCAACAACGTCAACCTCGATGGCAATGAAGGTGCAAGAGTGACGCGTGGTGAACAGCGAGGGGCCGTCAGAGTGCACACCGCGAGCGTCGGTGGAACGCAAGCGCAAGTTCTTCGGTCAGCCGCTGCAGCGAGTGCGCGTAGTGACGCGCACGGTCGTCGCAACCCTGCACGACCAAGTGGTGGCGGACCCTCGTGGGCAGCAAATGCGTCAATTATACGCGATGGTGGTATTGCTCCGGAATACGGATACTTCAAGTTCTCAACCGAGAAGAGTCGTGCCGAAACTACTTGAAGGACATCACGACTTGACAACGTGGGTCAAGTCCATTGAGCCGTAGTTGGAGATTGCGCAGCTGAAGAAGTTCGTTGACGGCACGGTGGAGGTGCCGCCTGAGGATGACGCTGAGCGTCGTGCACAGTTTCATTCTGCACAGTTGTTGACGTTTATGGTCATCTCAAGATGTTGCTCACTGGTTGTCCAAGTTGCATTGAAGCCATGCCGTCTACGGGTGGACGCTGGTTTTCAAGCTTGGCAATTCATTATGAAGACCTACAAGGCAACGACTGACCTTTTCATCGGCCAGCTGGAGGAACGGTTGACAAATCTGGAGATGGGGGAGCACGGAAGCGCAACAGCATACTGCAATTGCGCACAACAGATTCTTGCAGATCTGCGCATGGCTGGCGTGGACTACTCAATGTCTTTGTATATCACGCATGTCATCAAAGGTCTGCCTGCAAGCTACAATCTCCTTCGACGCATGGTGAAACTCTCAGGTGTACGGGAAGAGCTCGACGAGGATACGCTTTCGAGCTACATCATTGAAGAGGAGTTTACACTTGATCCGAGCGGCGCAAGTGTCAGAGGTCCACTGGGGATCCCCGATGATCCTAGGGAAGGGTTACAGGCACGTCGGCCTGGGGGGTTATGGGCGCACTCACCCGCTATATAAACAAGCCCTTTTATCCCAGTGGTTAGTGGCTGGGATTCTGACATGGTATCAGAGCGAAGGTCTCGGGTTCGATTCCCGGTGTGTGCACTTCGGGCATCCCAGTGCGGGGGGGTGTCAGAGGTCCACTGGAGATCCCCGATGATCCTAGGGAAGGGTTACAGGCACGTCGGCCTGGGGGGTTATGGGCGCACTCACCCGCTATATAAACAAGCCCTTTTATCCCAGTGGTTAGTGGCTGGGATTCTGACATGGTATCAGAGCGAAGGACTCGGGTTCGATTCCCGGTATGTGTCAGAAATAACTGAGCAGGAATGAATAAACTAGAACAGAGTTTGGTACAAGTAGTAAACCCTAACTTTGTGTACCCCCTAAGGTGTAACCCACTACAGCCTAGACAATATAAACATGCAATGTTTGACACACCCCCATAGGCGCAGTGGGAGACAACCACAGGGTCACAAGACCAGTCAAAGCAAAGTAAAGCAAGCTCAGGGTGGATCTCAAGGATTCCACACAAATTCCGAGCACAAGCAAGTGGTCTCAAGACCAGTTCACATGCAGGTTTATAACAAAGCAAGAGATACAGTGATCACAACCTAGCAAAAGTAAACAAGTAGGCATATATATATAGTGATCACAGTACAAGCAAGGTCAAGAGGTAAGCAAGTGAGGCCCAGTAGGTACAAGGCCTAGTAGAGTGCAAAAGCGCTGATGGTCACAAGGCTGAAGCGCCTTGGTGAACACATCAGCAGTGTTGGCCTCCGTGGCCACGTAACGCAGACAAAGCTGACCACGCTGCTGCAGCTCTCGAGCAAGAAAGTACCGCAGAGCGATGTGCTTCGTTCTGTGCTCCTCACACAAGGCAATGGCAGCCTTGTTGTCAACGTACAGCACTGGAGGAGAACGAGGCCGCTCTCCGAGGTCGGTCAACAGGTAGGTCAGCCAGCGTAGCTCCTGAGCAGCCATGGCTGTGGCGTAGATCTCAGCCTCACAACTGGAGCTGAGAACAGAAGAAGAGC